CTTGCAAGCCAAACTGGCCACCAAAACCCTTCTTGTAATCTGAAAAACCGATAAATCCGTGAAATTTCAATCTCTTCTGGAGGAAAAGATAATTTGTCCTTGCTATTTCACCAAGTGGGTTTCTTGAAAAAAAAAAAATATAAAAAACTTTTAGGTAAGTAGTTTCTCAGGGGAAAAACATCAAAATTTTACCTGTTTGACTTTCGTGTTGCTGCAGTTTGTCATGTGCATCCCAACCAAGTGCACTTTTATCAACTCGGTCTTCCTGAATGCCAAATTTTCCACCAAATCCTTTCTTATAGTCTATAAATGGATATTACAGGAGGGCACTCGTGGAATTTAGCCCCGAAATGAAGCGAGAGGTGTTTTTCGCCGCCTACAAACGGCCCCTGGCATAAAAGTCACCAAAAAAAAGTTGACAGGATTTGAAGCCCTAAAAATATCAGGAATACTTACCAACTTGACTTTCATGCGGTGCCACTTTTTCATGTTCATCCCAGCCAGCAGCACTTTTATCCTGACGATCTTTCTGCAGTCCAAATTTACCGCCAAAACCCTTTTTGTAATCTGTAATAAATTCAGTAATTATGGTAAAAAAACTTTCTATTGTTTTATCTCTGAGCCACCACTCTGAGTTTTTCCGCATAAAAAACTTCAAAAAACGAAACCAACAACAAGTCTCTTATCCGACGATTTCGAGTTCACAAAAAATTCAGGATCGAAGGGCCTGGTATAGCTGTAACATGAAAGCGAAATATGAAGAGTTATACTTCAGATAGTGATTCTGAGTGATGGATATTAATGATATCAATTTCATGAATTTTCTTTGTCTCTTCCTCTTTTCCTTTAAACACTGCGACCGTCATACTGACGAGGTCCTGTCACGTGGAGTTAAGATGTATATGACTAAATGGATCGAAACGTCTTATCTCACTTTTGCCTCCTTTCCTCATTCTCTTCCTGCTTTACCTGTATTCAATGAGCCCTTGACACTTCAGCATTCAAGGCCAACCTGGATATTACAGCCGGCTTAATATTTCAAAGATCAAGAAAACCGACCAACTTGACTTTCATGCTGTTGCAGTTGTTCATGCTCTTCCCAGCCGTGCGCACTTTTATCTTTGCGATCTTCCTGGATACCAAATTTGCCACCAAAACCTTTTTTATAATCTGCAAAACAACAACAAAAACAGCTCGAAGCCTGAGCGGAAATCATCTAATTTTTCAATACAGAACAAAATATCTTCAGAAAATCCTACGCTAATCACGAACGTATAAACCCGTCAGATCCCGCACAGTGATCAATTCTAAAAATTGTGGTACGCTCGCAAGCGATGCAAAAAAAAAAAAAACACACAAAAAAATGCACGACTAATTAAGTTTTTACCAATTTGACTTTCATGTTGCTGCAACTTCTCCTGTTCTTCCCAACCCAAGGCACTTTTATCTTTTCGATCCGTTTGTACACCGTATTTTCCGCCAAAACCTTTCGCATAATCTGTAAAAATGGAAGTTGGATGTGAACTTATAAAGTTTTATGAGGGAGAAATTTGAGCGGGAAAAAATACTTCAAGCGATAGAAAACTTGGCAAACATACTAAATTGCTAGAATTAAAGTACATTGGCGGATCTAAGTTCCCCCCTCCCCCTCTCTCCCGCTTCCCCCGGTACAGGTTGCAGTGGCAAAAGTGAAGAGGACTGTCTTCTACATCACTCATCGCCCCTCTTTTCCCGTTCCCTCAGAAACCTACTTCTTTCCCTCTCCCCCCGGATCGCTGCCTTTTGGAATGATGAGCAAGGGGGGGGGGAGGAGGGGAGAGTGGGGCTCCCGACGTAGTGGGGAGCGGAGGAGGGAGGGGGGAAGAAAAATCGCCCAAATCGTCCTCCCCCCACTCCCTTTCCCCTCTGAGAAACCGCCCTGGATTCGCCTATGGCTCGCAGCCGCAAAACGATGGAAAAAGATGAAACATCCAAAATAGAGGGGAGCAGTCTGAGTTTCATCCCTTAGCTGTAAACAACAGATGGAGCATGGTGAGCATAGATAGTGGTGGGGATCATCAGTAAAGCAGCCTGCTGGCCATGTGTACAAAATATTGCTAGCAAAAAGAAACAAGAAATTCATCAAAATACTAAAATAAATAGAAAGGAAAAATGTTCAACTAAACCTTTCTGACTTTCATGTTGCGCCAGCATCACCTTCTCATCCCAGCCGAGGGCACTTTTATCTTGCCGGTCCGCTTCAACACCATATTTTCCACCAAAACCTTTCGAGTAGTCCTTCTGCGATGCATGCTTATCCACTTTTCCAGCATATTCCCATGTTTCGGCGCTCTAAAAGTAACATTCGTAATTCAAAAATCGAAACGAGAAACGAAAGAGGCTGATCGAAGAAACCCAAAATTATCCGCGAACCGATCACATAATTGATGTAACAACGGTCACATCAATTATGAAATCATCCAGATTTCAACTTTGCGAGTTTGTATGTGGGCAAGGTACATTACCGAAAAAAATCAGATTCTGTTCTAACACAAATCACTGCCCAAAAAAATCCACCCAAGCGCCTTACTGAGATGTGAAAAAATGCAAATCGAGGATTTAAAAGTTACCTACCACAATAGCGACGATGAAAAAGAACTTAGGTTCTGCCTTAGACTGAAATTTGATCTTATCTTCAAACTTTGTTTCAGAAATTTTAAAGATACAAACAATGAATATCCCTGCTGGCTAGGAGATTGGAAGAGAACGGGGGTCTGAAATCTTCTA